CAGGCACCCACCCTGGCTTGCAGCTGCTTTGTCTTGACAGCATCAGGGCCCTTGCAGCCCCAGCCATGACTGTACCAGGTCTTCAGTGACAGCTAATAAGTAGGAACTGCACCCCACTGCTTTGCAAAGCTGCAACTCAGAGCTCCTTCAGAGATTATACTTATTTAAATGAGAAGAAGACATTGGGCTTTAACAAAAGCTCATAAGGAAAATAGCTTGACAACTTTGATAACAAGAAATAAACTCTTTTTCATATTATTTCCTCTCCTCCACAGCTCCATCCTCTCCTTCCCTACAGCCTGCAGAAGCAGATTTTTATCCCCTATTTGCTTCTGTTTAGAGAACATACTGTTTGGAAGCGGGGTATGGACACCTCAACGTTCAACCTTTGTCTGTGAGGATCCTCCACCTGAACTGACTTCTTTTTGGACTCCAATGCACCAAAAAGAACAGGCAGAATTGAGATAGGAGGGGAGGGAGACAGGGGACAAAGCCAGAGCTGTTGGGCTAGGCTATAAATAAAAAGCAGAAAAAATATGTTAAAAAATACAAGGCAACGCTATAAATCCCTCTCTCCTGTGTGAGCAAGCTACTGTATTACCGAGCTGGTGGGGCTGTGAGACTTCCCGTTACTTTATAGTCCATGACGATCACCCTCTTATGCTGCCACAGTATAACAAGCAAATGTCCCGACTCCCAGGAAGCCACTCGTAAAAAGATGCACTGCACAGTATCTTACAGTCCTCAGAGTAAGAGAAGCGAAAAGAAAGGATTTTTTGCCCTTTAAACCTGTTACTTATTTTGCTAATTTTGTTCGATTTTTTTTTTTTTTCCTGGGGCAAGGGGTGCTGGAAGGTGGGGAGGAAGAGAGGGTGAAGAGGAGGAGGAGGTGGAGGAGGAGGGAGCCTGAAGGCAGCCGGAGCTGGGGAGCCTTCCTGCTTGTTAATACACAGGCAAAATGATATGCACATATACAGCTCCGCAAGCTACCACGGGGAGGGAAGTAACACAAAGGAGCCATTTATTGCCTGAAAACTGTCTCTGAACAAACCCATTGTGTTAAAGTAATACAAATTCACAACACCTTCCTGCCTCCTTCTCCATCTGGATCTGTGCTAGTTTGGGGAGCGGGCGCTGCCGCCACGGCCGCTCAGCATCCTCTCGAGGTCACCTCCAGGGGCCAGATACCACGCTGATAACACAGGGGTGAGGGAGAATTGGGGGGAGAGAGGATAACTTGGCCAGGAGACTCTTAAAAATCCATCAACTCATTTCTGGCCAGGCTGCAGGTTTATCTGGCGAGGCAATTTAAATCCAAGAACCAGAAGGAGGTATCTTTTGATGTAACATTTTGTTCTTTTTACTGAATACAAAGTTATTCCAGGCAATGCAGTTGGCCTGAAATAGTTATCAGTTACAAAACCAGGACTGCTCCTATCTCCTCTCCTTGTGCAATGCTAAGAAGATCCTCCCGCTGAGCTCCAAAGTAGGGGAAAAGCTATTAATTAAAAATAATTCTCCACGTTAAGGCTTGCCGCCTAAAGCTCAGTTAATATTAAGGAAATTCCAGCCGTTCACTCCCTGCTGCTGGAGCCTTTTCTTTCTCTATTTTGTTTTGCTAAGCTTTTTGAGAATATACACGGAGATTGCCTCGACGTCTCCAGCCCCTTCCCTTTCCTCCCCAAAATTCAGAGCCTGCTCTTCCCCATTTTGGGGAGGCCCTGACCTGCTGGTCTGGGTCACTCCAGGGGGACAGCAGGTTTGTTCCCCTTCCACCTCCGCCACCCTTCTCTCAAGGAGAGGTGATAACAGAGGGACCCCCGCGACCCTCGTTCCACCCGAGGTGTTAACGCCAGCCAGAAGAAATGAGTTTTCCTGCCTTCCTGCTCCCGCTGAGCATCACAGCTCCGCTTCTCAAAATACCTGCCCTCAATTTTCAAAGCCAGCAGCCTCGGATGCATTTAGCCTTTTCTGCTGCTTGGAGGTGCTTGTCACTCTGGACCTGGACAATGGGGCAGGTCTGTAAAGTTAGGACAAGTAAATGTCCTTGCCCCTGAGCCATGTTTTGCCCCTGAGCCAAGACATGGGACTGATAGGGAAGAGCAGGAAAGGTAGCAAAATCCTGGGTCCTTAGTCAAATAGGACCTTAGCTGAGGGACTGGGATCTGAAGCTGGACTTGAAAATTACAGGGAGATCACAGAGAGCCAAACTCCCTGTATTTCTGCATCCAGTTGTTCAACAGCTGATATGAGGAAAACTTCCTCTCCTGCTAACTGATGGCAATACGTTTCAGGCCAGCAATGCTAAACAACGTGGAGGGATCTTCTGAAAAATATTTAAAAAAAATCTACATTTCATCAGGTATTCCCACAGTGTTTGGGAAATGCAGAAACAGTGCAGAAATGGAAAATGGAAGAAAACAAGAAACTAATCAATGTTCAAAAACATTATTTTATCTTGTGGGGAAAGGTTGAAATTAAGGTTGAAATTAAATGCTTTTTTATGCTTAAATATTACAGAACTGCAGCAAATAAGCTGATTTCAACAGTAACAATATTAGTGCAAGATTCCTGCCTTTACAGTATCTCAAAGAGTCTATAAACCATACATTTTGTGCTCTTATTTTCTTGATAGCTACGTAAGGTTAAAAAAATTTACTATTTCCATTACTTTTTTTTTTTTTTCTGAATTCATGCAGGAATCTTTCAGAGAACAGACCCCAAACAGTTGTTTTATCAAATTCTAACTTTTACCGTTTCAGACTCCATTGTGATGAAACATGATGTCAGAACAAAAGCCTCATTTCTTCAGTGCACACATTTTAAAGCCATTACTTTCATTTTCTCAAGTAGGAAAATATAAAATAAAATAAAATAAAATAAAATAAAATAAAATAAAATAAAATAAAATAAAATAAAATAAAATAAAATAAAATAAAATAAAATAAAATAAAATAAAAAAGATGAAGAAGAAAAACAGAGATACCTTCAGATTTTTTTTTTTTATGATTCCCCATTTTTTTTTTTGAAGATAAGTAAGCCTAAAAAAAGGTTTAATTGAAACAGTTTCTGTGTTTTCAGGCAGTAAGTTTTTAGCAGACAATTTTAAGTGTACTTTTCTAAATGTTCTTTTCTACCAAAATAAAGGTTAGGGATGGTAGTGACAAAGACAGTATATGACTGGAAAAAGTATTTCATACATCACTGTGAATTTACATAGAGCTGTAAAATGTGTTAGGTTGAGCAGGATTCCGCTAGGACAGAGAAACAAATAAACTCTTCATTCTTGAGTATTAGTCTTACTAAGATGGGAATGTAGGTCCCAATTCATTAAAGCGTTCATTAAAGTCCATACTTAGACACACATACCTGAGTCTGACTGAAATCATGGAGGCTGGAAATCAACTTAAGGTTTTATTTCTGTGAGGTTTAGGGTCCAAAAAAGCAGCAGAGCCAGCTAGCACGGGAGAGAACGAGTCACCTATCGTGTACATGCTTTCTTACAAAACCGTCCCTGCACCACAGTGCTAACACACGGCCAGCAAAGCCAGATGAATGCATTCCCATGGGAATTTGTGTTGGACTCCCAGCATGGATTACCTGAAGGTGACTATGAATCTCTGCTTGCTGTTGATATAGGATTTATGTGGAGCAGGCATGTCAGAGCTAAGCTAAGAAAGAAAGTGGTGCTTTAAACTATGTCCTAGCCAAAATGTGGTGATGTATTTCTGTTGATCTTTAGCAGTGGTGGTGATGTGGCCCATGGTGCTGACCCCTTATGCTACCACTGCCACTGCCCCTTTCATTGAGAAATTATTCCCTGCATTATTACTGCATCTATTATAAATAACACTTAGATTCATAGATAGCACTCAAACATATCTTTCAGGAAGTCGTGTAAATTGTACCCTTGATTTCTTAAGTTCTTCTCCTTCCCTTAAAATTTTTCACCCCGCCTGAATTCACACACGTTCACACTGAGTTTCCCAGTGAGTCACCCAGGTTGTTTCGTGGGCCACGTCGATTCATCAGCAAAATGTTAACGTGAGCTCTTTAGAACGAAAAACCACAGGATGTTTTATTTGAACTGCACAAGCAAGCCCTTTCCCGAGTCCTCACTGAAGGATGCGGTGCTCTCTGTGAGCTGAAGAGCAGCTAGTCATGCAGCTTGTTACTCACTTTTCTTTCATGGGAAGCTCATCCCAAATGCCTGCAAGAGAAATTACTGAATACAATGCCACTGCCTACCTCACTTTATTTATACTGTAATAAATACAAATCAAACAACACTTTTGATGTGAGAGCTAACGATTGAGAATCTCACATCCATGTGAGGCTGCTTTCCATTTCCTACCGTGATATTAATTTGTAATTTTTCGACCTGTCTCTGCAATTACTTTTTAAGCTCCTCTATTTCACATCATCAATCCCACTCGTAAGACTGCAAGTCACCTAGATGCCATCTGTTGAAAAACAGAGTGATGGAAAGTCTGAATAATGCACTGAGTCAGGGTTATAGATGCTACATTTTGACATACTCAGAGGCATAAAGCTGGGGGAACAGATTAATAATTACTTTACCTGAAACTAAATCAGTTCATCTTTAAAGGCCTGACCACAGGCTGAAGCTAGTTCTATAAATACCTTGGTTTAGTCAGGTCTAATTCAAACAAACTGGGTATGCAAATATTCAACACTCCAATGGCAAGATGCTTTCTCTGATAGTTCTTGCTTTAGCATGTCAATCTGAAACCTTGATTGCTTTTCTCACACTTCTTTGGATGAAAGGACATAAACAGCAATGAAAACCAGTTCTTTAATATGCTTCTCTTCAATTCAATTCAAACATACACTTATTGCAAAAAGAACAACATGAACTGAGGAAAAAAAAAAAAAAAAGAATGGAGAGCACCATAATGTAATAGCAAGTGCAAAGCAATTTTCATTCCTGGATCCTGGACGATTCATGTACAGAGCAATTTTTCTACTATATAGGAAAAAAAAAAAAAAAAAAAAAAGGATAGGGACAGAGTATGTATTTCCAGTATAAATTGGGAATAGCTTAGGAAATGTTGGTTTTTAATCTAATTTATGCATTTTTGCAAACTTTAAAACCATTGTTAATAATCTATACTTGGCATGATGAAGAGTGTATACATATTATTCCAGAGGACAAAAAAGTCCTAAATCTTACTGGCTTGGATTCTTTGACCTCAACAAGTTTAGTCTGAAAACATTTGTTACATGATGAAAAGCTTTGTGAGAATGCTAATAACATTCTTAAAGGGTTAATGATGCCTAACTGATTGGCACTAAAAACTAGATTTCATTTGGTATAGTGACAGAGAAACTCTGCCACCAGGAGTATACATTCATGCCCACATTATTACAGGACAATTTAGGTCATCTTATTTTAAATTTCATGGCTCTGTAACATAGATGTAAATCAAAGTCAGTGAGGCAAATGATGATTTTTCCATAGTGAGATTTTTATAGTCTTGATCTTGAAAATATGCTTTGGGCCCAAGCTGTCTATCAAAATCCTTTCAATTAGCTAAAGGAGTTTGTGTTGCTGCTAGTGTACCATTACAATCAGAAAACAAAAGCAGAAAGCTTTCAGAATGAGGCACGTCTCATCATTTTAAAAATCTGGGCTATACTAATAATTAACATTTTTAAAAGACTTGGAATAATAAGGTGTTCGGGTCTAGAAACATGTGGCTATTGAAATGGTGAGACTTCATACTGAGGCACACCCAGAGACTTAAGCAAATATTATGTGCTGGTAGTATGGCTCAAAACACCGCAGAAAGCCAAGTGTTTACTTTGTGAATGTATAGAAAGGTGTGTGTGTGTACACCTGCACACGTAATTTGTTTTTGAAGGATTTCAAGTATTTAATTGCATGATTGTAACATGCAGGTTCAGCCACATACAAGCAATCCCTTGCTTTAATAAACACACCATGAATTTGATATATTGATTGTTTGCTTTTTTAGACCTGATTTATCTGTCACTTCCATTTCCAGATTTGATTTATTGGTCAATTCCTTTTCAAGATTTGATGTATTAGTCATTTTCTTTTCAAGATTTGATTAAAGCACGTTGCATAAGCTCTTCCAGATCTATTTCTAAATATTGCACATATATCTAGTTTGTATGTTTAAAATCTTAATTCCAAAACTTTCTTGATTAATAATTCATCTCTTTCTATCTGGAGCTATTCCTTGTTATACATGAGTATAATCAGAATTAGATGAAACAAGCAATTACAGTGGACATAAAATACAGTAACTGTAGTTTTACAATAAATTGCACTCTCTGAAGCTTTAAAGAGAGTCTGGAGATTTATTAAAAAGCATTAAGACAAAATAGGTAAAATTTGAGTTCTAGCTTCAAAGCTTTTATGCTCTAGAATCACATGCTGCAAAAGCAAACAGAAGGGAATTCGAGCTCTGCGGCTCCGATTGCCCCAGGGATACAAAACAGGGAATCTCAAAATAAGGTACAGGACTTCTCTTGTAATGCTAAAAGGCACAGGGGCAAATCTTTGGGGAAATAAGACATGTGCAGAGCCACAGGAGGGAGATGTCTGGTCCCAAGTCTACACCCACTGAAGCCAGTCCAAGGTGCACATTTTTGACCATATTTTCAAACTGGACAGAACAAAGATTATTTTTTTTCCCCCTAAAAATAAAGCAGAGGCTTTAGCTAAAGCATAAAGAAGAGCTCACTTTCTAAACCTGCCCCTTCAGAACAGCAGGTCTCATACTGAAACACCTTTCTTGGCCCTTTGCTGCAGGATCAGGTTGGTCCAACCCAAGTCGTCTTTGGGATGGGGAAATCCTGGTATAAAGGACTGTTACCAAGGCCAGCTTGTGCTGCTACCCCAAAAGATTTCACCAGGTGGCCAAAGCAGGTCAGGTCCTGCTGTACAGTGGACCCAGAATGGATTCAGACATGGGGCAACTGTCTGAAGCAAGGGGTCATCCTCTGAGTGGGACAAAACCCGATGGAGTTACAGACTCCATGGTGAACGCAATGAAAGGAGTGAGGTGAGCCTTGACTGACTGGCCAAGTTCCAGCAGAGGTAATTAAATTCTGCCTAGCTAAACTCTTTCTGCACCAAGATAGAGGTTTGTTATCTACTTCCTAATCTGCCCCAAACTGTGGGCAATGCTGTTTTATACAGTCAGACAGCTGCTTGATTCCAACGGTGTGTGAAAGGAGCTGTAACCATCCATCTCTTATCTGCCCCACAGGGGTGTTTTGAGGGCTAATTAATAAATATTTGGAAAGATGAAAGGCACTCAGGAAGTACAAGGCATTACTATTTCACACTCACCTCTGAGCAGATCTCTATAAACTGTATGACCTGGGCATTCAAACAGTTACATGAATGTGTTTCAGCATTAGCTCCCTGAATGGTTCATAACACAAAAGGGTCCTATCCTGCCAAAGGCTGAGCACCGCCCAGCAGGATCTGATCACCAAAGCTCCCACTGAATCCAACAGAAATTGAGAGTGCTTCTCGTACAGCAAAAGATGCTTGGCTACTCACAAAATGAGGCTGCCTTTGAGGAAAACCCATTTGTGCTTTAACACACCTATTTCATGTTTCTGGTAACAGCTCAGGACAATGGCCACCAAAGTCAAAAGAAGCTTTTCTAGTGGGTTTAGTGAGAGTTTGATTTGAGAAACAGAAAGAGCAGCACACAGCGGGCAGCAGCTGGCTCTGAGAACTACACAGCTGCCCTCTCTCTGCACAACTGTCCCTGGGAGTAAGGAGTGTGCAGAGTTATAGAGAAATACAACAGGGAGATGCCAAGGTCAGAGCTGAGGATCTGAGTCCCTACCTCTGACCCTGCAAAACTGATAGAACAGTAATGATAAAAAAGATGGCAAGGGTTGCTAGTGCCACGATTAGGATTTATGGGGAACCTGTACATCCAAACACTGTCACCTCTTTTCTGTATGACAGCTCATGAGCAACATACCCCGGAAAGCTGCATCTTAGCTGGGTGACTCATCTGCCTCTGCCATTGACTGGGTGTGGCATCACTTTATGTGGACAAGGAGAAATCAGAGAAAGTTATTTAAAATGATACCTTCCCATGTTCAGTTATTGAGCTGCAATAAGTTCCAATATAATAGCTGGCAATTACAAAAAATTCTTAGGATGGACTAAATGCTACTATTCCTTTTGCTATACAAAACCTTCTACAGCATTTTTTTAAATTTATTTTATATGGTGATACAACTACAATGTTGTACAACATTGCTCATCTTTTGGAGAAAACAGATTTCAGAATTGCTCAATGAATTGTTGTACTCGAGTATTATAAAATCTAGCATAGCATCACAGAAACATATGAAGAATTTCTCAGCACTTTTTGAGAAGACCTAGCACAGGAGAAGTCACCTGCTCCCCACAGACAGGTACCTTGAATTTGGTGAGACGTAATAACCCGTTTCCCATAAAGCAGGGCAGCCCATTTCCTGGCCCCACGAAGATCTGTCTGAGGGTAAATCACTCCTGCCAAAGGTCTTGAACCTAAAGACTCAGAAGAAGACACTATACGGTAAAAGGCCTACATACACTTCAAAAGATGGAGTCCATAACCATATGTCTGGGTGCATTTCAAAGGGTGGGATTGTCTGAGCCAGAAAAATCTATGGACTTTCGCTGAACTTTTTTACGTCTCTAAAATTATCTGAGATCCCTTATTTCCACACGCATCCAGTAACGACTTCCTGTCCTCCTCTACCACTCCAAAAGTCAATTCTACCCTGTCCAAGACAAACCATCCCCTTGAGATAGGACAGGCTTTTGCCCCAAGTGAATTAACATCCAGCCCCCTCTTGCTTTCCCAGCAGAGCTTCCCCCTCTCTTTTCCACTATGCCAGCGTTTCCCACACAGCGCAAATCCACACTGAAATACTTCGCACAGCAGGGAGCCAATTCTCACACCATGAAATGCCAAATCCTCCAGAACATGTAAAACAAACACTTTGCAGTTTGCATGCTGCACTTGTTGAAACGCAAAATGGGTCTAATACTTTGTTTTTCATCTGCTGCCTTCTCTCTGAGACGACGTTTCAAGACAAACAGGTTGAGCGTGGGTACAGTGTGGAAGTGGTTTCAATGAGGTTTTGTACAACCTAGTTCCCACCACTGCACACAAAGCATCCATGTACCCTCTGCTTCAAAGGTGCTTGCTGGTGGTGTGGGTGGCTCGGACAGAAGACGGGGATCTCGTTTGTGCTGACTGGGCTTCTGAGAAGCGGCTCACCACGTACATCACTCTGCAACAGCTTACAGTGCTTCCAGCAACAACACTCGGAGTCAGAGCCATCACCTGCCACCGCTCCCATGTCAATGAAGCTCTGAATGTGCTGTCACAGGAAACTACAGAATTACCCTTCCACAAATGGACAGTGCTTACAGTGCTATTTGGAAAAAAGAAAAAAAATTAAAATGAAATAAAAACAACAGCACAGATATTGTCTCTCACTCTTTCACCTACTGCTGTACCCAGGGCATTTACATCTACAGCCCAACAAGGAACAGATGTTGGGTGATTGAAAAACTTGAGCCTTCCATTGTTTTATTGACTTGTCACCACAGAGAAATTTGTTTTAATTTACTTTAAAAGTAAATGAGTTGATCTTCATAAAACTGGTGGCAAGTCACAGTTCTTAATGAGGATGTTAAACAAGGATTCTGTTTAACAACCAGAGGCACCAATTCTAAGTGCAATGCCTATTTGAACAGACACATCTATCTTCCTTTTTGAAACATTCTGCTTTATTTTCAAGACGTTCAATATACACGGGGTGGGGGGGGTGGGGGGAGGGAAGAAAAAAGTGTGTGAGCCCTTGAATGCCTGCATAAAATTTAGACTGATTTCAGTTCCCCAGAAATCCATCCCAACCCCCATATTGCCAGCCCAAACCAAGCTTTGAGGACATGGTGTCACTCAGGTACCGGAATGTGAAAGAGGTCTTCCAACCACATCAACACCACCATGTGGGATCGCTTCCCACGTTGGCCATGAAGAATACACTCATGAACACAAGAAGTCAGTGAGGCAAGAAGTCTTTAGAGACTGGAGATGGAGATACCTCCTTTGTAAAGTAACACAGAGTTTTCGAAGGATAAAGAAGAGACTGTCACCTCTTCCACCTTCATGTGTGTGTATCACCTTACTACAAAATGAAAAATGGAAAATGAAGAAAGAAGAAAGGAAAAAGAAAGAAACAGCTGTTCTGTATGTCCAAACTGACAGGATTGAGTGGAGCCTGGGCAGCAGGTAATGCCACATGGCCAAGAGAACCTTTTTGAGCCCAGTGCTTGCTCAGGCTCTCAGTTCAGCACATTCACAGCACTAAAGCTGGAGTACCAATTTCCCCAGGATTCAGAGAAAATAGCTCTAATTAGTCACAAGCACTTCTTCCCACAGCTCCCTGCAAGTCTCCTCCAGGCATAGACAAGGCCTCAGCCAACTCTGGTAGCCTGAGAAAAGCTGAGCCCAAGGTGTTAACGGCTGTGAATACAATGCAGTTAATTTAATTGGGTTGTCCATCCTTGATATTTGAAAAGTCCCTTTTAAATGTTACAACTTTTTTTTTTTTTCTGTTGTTCAGCAACTGAGTTACTATTTTCTCCTGAACTCCATTTTCATTTTAATGCTGATTCTCAGTTTCTTTTGCAAACTGAATGAAGGTGAAACTCTCCCAGTAATATACCACCCTTTTGAGAAACTTATTTCCTTTTGGTGCAGTTTCTAACAGATAGAGCTATAATGGCCAAAATAAATTTTATCCCAGAAATGCAGAAAGCTGAAAGTTAAGCTTAACTTATAAACCCTTTTTAAGAGAGAAAAAATCATGCCAGCCTTATCACCATGACAGTCACAGTTGTTTAGATTTATTATGCAATGGTAATCAGGCTATACAATAAATTTGCTATAGTAATGCATTAATCACTTTGTAAAGAAAAATGAACTACTTAAAGGAAGACAATACATTTTTTCTCTCTTCTTCCCCATAGTATAATTGGGTCCTCAGTTCCATTCTTTAGAGAAGGAAGCATATATTTTCACTTCTGCTACATCTCTGATTTGAGCCAATGGCTCAGCAAGGTCACCACCATTTTACTTCCTACAGAACTGAGCTCCACAAATATTTCTCAGTCAGATCTTTCTTTAGAGGTCTGAAATGCTTGGGCTAAAATGTCTACCTGTTAGTTGCTTTTTTTCTGATTCAGCATACATTTTCAGTGTATACATGAATTTTATACTTTTGGATGAAATGACTTTCAGTGGGATTCATAGAAGAAAAGCTGCTGGGAAATATTTTCTTGCAAGTAAATACCTTTGTTTTGTTCCAGGACAACTCCTTACAAAACTCCCAGGCACGGCACCAGAAGACAATGAGGAAAGCAGAATTAGCAGGCTCCATTTCCTCTCATTTTTCCAAGGAACAAAGTGAATATTCCTTGAACGGGCCCTAATGTCACCTCCAGCATTTTTTTAAAAAAAAAAGCAACAAAGAGCCTACAGCAAAACCTAGGTCTGTGCAGATGGCTGAAAAATATTCTTTGGCCCAACATCATCGGTGGCATTTGGGGAGAACTTCCTTCTGCCACAAAGACGAAACAGGATCTACCCAAAGCTACACTGAAGCTGGCAGCTTTTGAAATGCTAGATCTGATTGACAATGCCACCTGAGCTGCTAATGAAACCAGTGAAACTCACGACACAATCTTCAAGTAGCACCTTGGATGTGTACCTGCAACTATGAAGAGGCTGCATCCTATCTCCCCTTCTTTTTTGTATGTGAAATTACAAAACATCAAAGTTATAATTTACCACTATTTAAAACACATTTCCCAATGCCTGTCAGTAAGTTCTGGCTGTACATTGTACTAATGCATTCCTGTTACAGAGGTAAACTCATGGGAAGACTGCGGTTAACGCACATAGGTAAAGAAACGCTCCCTGCCCTCCATCCCGCAGAAGAAAAATTATCAGTGTAAGAATTAAATTATTCCCCTTTCAGATGTTGTAAAGCCTCCAGGCAGCATCCTAACAGTCCTTTTCAGCACAGGTAAATTGAATTCCAGCAAGTTTACTGTATGTGGACTCTTCAGAGGAGATATTAAATAGCAAAGGCATGACCATAACCTATGAAAAAAGACCAAAAAGCCTGGTGTTGTTTAGTCTAGAGAAAAGGAGGCTGCAGCAAGACATAACAACAGCCGTCAAATATGCTAAGGGTCAGTGCAAAGAGGAAAGGCGTACGGTGTTCTGGGTGACCAGGACAAGGCGTAAGGGACCTGCACCACAGGAAAGCTCCTCTGGTTAGACAAGGGGAAAGGTTTCTGAGCAGCGACAGGAGCCAAGGTCTGTAAGGGAGCCTCCAGGGAGGCTGTGCGCTCTCCAGGGGGGTCTTCAAAACCAGGCTATGCAAATATCTGTCAGGGATAATGCAGCCTGTCTGACCCTGCCTCACGGCACAGGGACGGATTACATAGCCTCTCGAGATTTCTTGCAACCCTGTTTCATTTATGATTTTATACAGCGGAGCCCCCAAGGGTAATTTTCCCCACTGCCCAAGGTTTTCCCTTATCTATTCAGTGCTGGCGCATTATTCCTTCCCGTTTACTTGATCTGGGTTGTGCTCATGTAAACAAAAAGACTGGTGTCCGCAGGGCAGCCAGACCACAGCATCCATCTCCACTGTTCTGATCAGTCACCTACTTCTTATGCTAATTAGTACACAGATGGCAGGGTGGTTGGTGTAAGAATGCAAGAATTTGGGTCAAAGTTGGAGGATTGCTTTGAGACGAATTGTGTTAAAAATATGCAAATAATTCTAAAAATTTTGGTGGATTTTCCTGGCATCTTCATGGGTATGTGGCTCTGCTGTTTGAGGGAATTACTGAGCAGGACATGATGCCTGGCTTCTCTCAGCGGGGATGAGACCAGTGCTTTGCTCTTCTGCTGAAGGTGCTCGTGTCTCCCATTTGTGTACAGGGAAATGCAGCAAGGCCACAATGCCCAGATGTGACCTCAGATACAGAAATGTCACTCTAGGTGGTGGAAGGGACGAGATTTTTACCACCCTTTTCTTTCACCCCTGTAACTGGGCCAATACACCAGGTCAAGTAACTGCTCACCTCGTGAAATGTGCAGAGGGAAGAGGGCATGATGCTAGGGGCATCTGTGAGTGGAGATTTGGGACTGCCCCCCAGGAGCCATGGGGATCCTGTTATGAGAAAAAGGTCAGACCTTCTGCCATCAGCATGCACAAGAGTCTCAGGCAAATCTAAACACCAGCATTACTGAAGAAAAAGCCTTGCAAAAGCTGCCTTTGCACGTCTACATCCCAAAAGAGAAAAGACAGCTCCAAAATGTGCCTCAGTCTGCAAAGCCCCCCAAACTCAGGGAAGTGGGATGCTAAGCAGTGACCTGCTGTACCAAAAAGCGAGCCTCCAGACACGCACCAGTGCTGCATGCCCACCAGCACCCAGTTTGCCATGGGCAAAGGAGAGGCTTCCTGGTAGGTTCTTGCTTGCTTGGATTAAATTGAATTTTAAATTTTGTAAAGCTTCAGTAACTGCAAAATAGTCCTTAAAAAAAAAAAAAAAAGACAACAAAAAAAAAGAAAAGTAAACCAATGCCTCTTCTACTTTAGCCTCTCCAGTTTAATTTCTTTCAAACTTTTTTCTGCTGTATATATTATGGCAATGCATAACATAACGCTTTTTGGTGCATTTTCTCTCAGAAGTGGAGTATTTATTTCACAAATTAAATTAGCTTTCTTGATTGCAAGCTGGGAAAACTAGTATATAATAAATTATAAGGAATGCTTGACCAGATCATACGTCAATAAATAATCCTCACACTTAATCTGAAAACCACTAGGTAGTTGGAGCGATGACTGATTTAACACTGCCCATTTAGTTTACCTGTGATACCATGTTATTTAAATTCAAGATTTTACATTAAATATAATCTGGACTAAAACTTTCATTTAGAAATAATTGAAAATTTTAAGGGATTTTTCCTTTTCTTTCTCTTTTTTATTTTTTTTAAAATTTAATTAAAAACACAAGATGAAATAAATATTTTAGGCAACCAGCAACAAAATGGGAAAATACCATGTGTTTGGGGTTTTAGTGCCCTCTGAGTGCTGGAATTTATTTGCAGCAAGCAGAAAATAGACAGCAAGCATAAAAATTCAGCAGATTCCCGCTAGTAAAATTATTTATCAAGCTAACAAGGGAGGAACCCTTCTAGTAGCAACAAGCCAGCAAGGAAAAGACGTGCCTTTATATTTTACCTTTGGGTTAGCACACCAGTAAAAATGCCAACTGACAAGCACTTCACATAAACATTTCTTTCTAAATGAGCTGCCTTGTTAGAAAAAAAATCTAAGCAAAG